ATAGGTGTTTGCACAAGTGTGGGGTAGGTACAGGCCTTCGCAAATCTGTTGCTGTGGTGGCTGAAATCCACTTGGCCGCTCCTGCCAAACATCTCACTTGGATTTCTTTTGTGTGTCTTTCAGTTGGCCTTTTGCTGGCCGTTGAGGCTTCTCTGGCAACATGTTTGCTTTCCCAGTGACCAAGGGAGAGCTGCTATTTGGCTTCTTGATCACCAGCTTGGGATTTTTCTAATTCTCAGAAACGACTACCAAACCCATTTTTCTAAAAGGCTAGAAATAAATCCCACACTGACACTAATGACATATTAAGAACACAACTAAATTCTGAGCCTCATATCCTTCACAAGATCTGTCCCAAGTCGCCAAGGGCAGGTTCTGCCTTTCTCCTTCCTGTCTTGGAGAGTGCTACCAAGCCAGGAGAAGTGAAAGATTGCCCAGTGGAATAGCCCCTGGAAGAAACGAAATGCTGATGAATGGAAGGGCAGCCTGTCAGGTGACTTTGCGCAAAACGTAGTTTCTGTTGGAAACAGTTTTTACAAAGTCAAGATGAATTGGTGTGTTAGTACAAAGATTTTTTTCCTCCTTCTACAAATGATCAAGGAAAATGGATTTTTTAAATGTAAACATTCTCTTGTAGTATTTACAGCTTCTCTAATATAAGAGGCCGAAGGTCTTGGAGTTTAAAGTAAGAAGCAGGAACAGGGAGATAACAGTTCTTTTATAGTTTGATTATAATCTAAATATAACAGGAAAATCGCTCTCTACATAAAGCGCCATGATGAATAAATATCTGGGTGAGGAGATTATTGGGTCTTTTTTCCTTTTTTCTTTCATTTTCTTTCCTCTAACTTTTCTTTGCCTTTGAGAAAGGCCTTTAGTGATGAAGACAAATAGCGATTGAAAGAAAAGCTTGTGTTGGGCTTTGCTGATAGAGCACTTTGGGGAAACGATTTGTTAGGGCAGAGAAGCTAATACATAAAATGTGAGCCCTCGGAGATCGCCCAGTTCAATCTTTCATCTCAAGCACAAGGGTATGAGAGCGGCAGGTGTACAATCTGAGGAACACAAAGCCTCATCTCATAAAATTTCAATATCTGTCACCTCTGTGTATCACGGTATGCATCTCCTCTGTCATGATACATAAGGAATACACTTATTTTTCTACCAAACTGGTGGTCTAATGAAACCCCCTTAGGAATGAAATCCTTAAGTTATCTCCATAATCACCCCTATTCTTTGATAGCCAAGTCACTTGTTGTGAGGGGCAAGTTGTTATTGGCCCTTCCACCCACCCCCCAGGCATTGAGTTCCAGGTATAGTGGGCTGAGCTGGCTCTCACTCTATTGCTGATCATTGCTCCTTCAAGGTTCTGTTCCTGCCCCCTAGTCCCCCAAAGTCTCACCCCCATAGGTGAGCAAGTGGTGAGAGTCGTGGGAGGGGTGCGGCAGGGGCTCTGAAGGCAGTGGGTTCCTCCCCTCCCCCCATCCTGCACTAGGCACAGGTCGGCTGGCTCAGACACACAACCCAGTGAGACGGTCAGACCTCTCCTGTTCCACTTGGCTCTGTGGCTGCCGACAGCATGTGGCTCTGTCCACTGGCACCAGCGGCAGGCCTCAGTCTCTGTTTATGCTGTCTGTATGGGATATGTGTGCGGGGGTCTCCTCTGGAGCCCCCCACTCCCACAGGCCCAAGAACCCAGTAGTGAGTTGGGCTGTGTTCTCCCTCCAGGGAGAGAGGCCCGGCCATCTTCCCCACTCCCCGCCAGGACTTCCTGTAGCAATTTTTCTATAACTGCTTCCCAGTCTGCCTGCTCCCAGCTCTTGGATGACAGTAACTGTGTCTCATTTATCTCTGAATCCCCGTGTTCAACCCAGAGTGGTCCTTTAATAGCTGTTTTTCGCCAATGTGATGCTAAATGGCCACTCGAATCCTCGAGAGAAAAAAAAACACACGCCACGCCTCTCATTTCAATCATTTGTTAAGTAAGCAGTCAGTGAGGCCATACAACAGGGGTGCCAGAGTAGTGCTGGAAGTGCATTTGTTGCTCTCAAAAGACCTTCCAGTTAACTAATATGACAAATAGACTAGAGAAACTCAATCAGGCCGTGCTCACCTGTGGCATCATGATAAGGACTAGACCCTCATCTTCACCAGAAGAGCACTGGGAGAAAGTCAGTGGCCTCAGTTTCATCTCAGATACTGTTTTCGCCATTCATGAAATTCAGCTGGTGTTAGGTGAAACGTGGGAGACAAGTAATGGCTGGTCTAGTCGTTCTCGTTTTAACCACCCGTTCATGTGTATACTCTCTGTATATCTCAAAGAATTGCTCCCTGAAGAGGAGCAAAAGACTCAAGGCTTTCAAATCAAATCACTCAGACGCTCTTTCCCAAGGCCCTCTGTTGGTCCCGAAGACACGGACTTGTCTTCTCCATCATTCCCTGTTAACAATCTTCAAGAAATTGTCCAGATGAGAGTTTATGTCCTGGAGAAACCGCCCCTTTCCAGAGAAGTGTGACACAAGCAGGCAGACTTACAAATTGTGTTCTGAGCCCCAGATATATTCTGTTTTACCTAAACAAATAAGGAAATGGTACGGAGTATGTTTTAGGAAATGTACCCCACTGCATCTGCCAAATATTACTGGGTGGAGAGCAAACTCTGCCCTTGCCTTGCTGTCTCTCGGGGAGGGAGACATAGGTGGGGGGTGCTTTATTTGCTCAGCATCCAAAGCCAGATCATGCTCGTGACTGTCCAAAATGCTGCTGTGAATAGCAAGAGTATCACAAGGGTTCTCAAATAGGAAAGTGGAGTTGGAACAAAGAGCAGGCACCAGACAGACTTCCTCTGTTAAAGATTATCCAACGTGTCACCTGGGTGCCAACATTCCCATAAACCCCAGCAGCTCTATCTCACCTAGGGAAACTTAACGGCTTTGAAACCCTGCCCGGGACTAGTAGCATTCCATGAAACGACCTCATCACAGGGGAATGGACTTTATCTCAGAGACTGTAAGTGTGTTTGCTTTAAAGATGATTAACCACGCTCAATGATTACCAGATTTCCTAAATTAAACCCGATCTCTTATTATAATTATGAATCTCACAATTTCATCCAGAGGGACATATCAACGAGGAGAGTGTAAATCTTTCTGGATTGGTCTTTAAGTGAATCTGCAAGCTGATTCCCTATTCAAGGAAAGCAAACTGTTTCTCATTTGCAAAAGGCTGCAACCAGAACCAGTGCCTGGCCAGATAGCTAGATTGGAAGAAACTTCCTCCCAACCTCTGCCCAGAATTCCTTCTTCTAGAGCCGAATTCTTTTAGCAAAATGAGGCTCTCAGGGTTCTTGGTTTATGATAAAGTTAGTTTCTCCTTTTCCTTTGCCTATCACTGGCAGTGACTCCGCTGAACCCTGAGGAAAGCCAGACCCCTCACCACCCATGCTCTACTCTCATTTGCTCATTTTGTTTAACACCAGCTCCCAGTGGCTTCCAACCGCATAGCCCGGTTCTGAGCAGAGAAGAGCCTGCCTCTCCTGCTGAATTTTGTTCTCTTTGTGCCACTTGCCTGAAGGTGTTTACCTATCCTAAGGCCTAATCTATGAAAATCGTTAGGGAACAAATATAATAGAGCAGATTTCAAAGTGAGCGTGGGTGGTCTGTGGGTGCTAAATGGTCTGAAAGGCTTTGTGGAGAAGACTGGTACTTGAGCTGGGCCTTCAAGAGTAAATCAGGTTCAGATGGGCAGGGAGGAGGGTGTGTTCCCAATGGGGAAATATCATGTCACCGGTATGGCAGGGGTGTGCTTATTCTGTAGATGTAGATCCTTCGCTCCAGTTGATAGAAACATGTGGCAGAGCTGGGAGGTTTTAAAAGTAGAACTAAAGTGTTGTCCTTCCGGGACTGGCTGCAGGTCTTGGGTAAGAGCTGGATTCGAGGATCATCGAGGAGCTTTCTGGGTCTAAAACACAGGTATCTAGGCATCCAGATACCTAGATAACAGTGGGCACTGGGTGTCCAGCAGACATTCTGCCCACCTGAGGTCACTTGCCTTCCTTTAGCTGACCACCTGTTACAGGTGACAACAAGGACTTCGGGGTCAGCTAGGAAGACACTGTGACTCTACTCTTACAAGCTTGAGCTAATTTGGATCTGTGAATTAAACTCTTTCCAAAATGGGAGTAACAATTCCCTATTTCCAGAGTTAGCCTGCAGAAGATAAGAGGTGATATATAAAATGCCAGAGGCTTCATAAATATTGGTTTCCTTTTTTCCATCTTGTTTTGCTTTTCTGGAGGGATTTTTCTCCTCTTTTTTATTTTGCCTGGCTGGGACTTCCTTTCTCACCTCCCGCCACCCACCCCAAATTGTCCCTGGGCTCCGTTTGAAGGACCCAAGTGTGTGTACGGAAAGATTAAGCTGTCCTTCTTATAAAGGAGAAATGTATTCAAAATGGGGCACATCAAAAGTGAATGTAGGTGACAAATGTTTATATTTGGAAAGTGCTTCTGCTTTGATCTTGGTTTCTATTTTTTGAGAGCTTGACAAATGTGCTCTCTGGGCCTTGGCTTCAAACATCTTCAGTCGGCAGAGCACTTTAGAGGAGGTGAAACTCATTTGATCCTGCACTTGCTGTTCCTCCTGGTCCGGGATCCGCCGGCACAGCATAGGCCTCCTCTTGTCTCCCCGGCGCACCGCCCAGAGCCAGCATGGCTGACATCGAGGGGCCACCGCCTCCCTCGAGTCCAGTTCTTAGGGCTACAGATGCCAGAGGCAGAGGAAGCCGTCCCTGGCTCTCCTCTTCAGAGGCTCTCGAGTGCACTTGGCCGTTATGAATGCTTTCCTGACTCCTCTGCCTTCCTCCCTCCTCCATGAGGTCACGCTGAACCTCTGCCGAACACCCCCTGACCCACTCCTTGGGAAGGTGCCAAAGGTGATTCCCCAAGGGGAAATTCTTCAGGGTGGCAGTGTGGGGTGCTGGTTTCAGGTGAACGTCTCCAAACTGTCAGCCACAGAACTGATTTTTCCAGGGTTTCCTAGACTTCTTGGAAGGAAAATCTTGACAGAATTTAGAAAACATTTTCAGCCACCCCTCTGACCCGTTTCTTGCAGGTAGGTTATAAAAGGTCTCCGTGTGTGTGAGGTGATTTCTGCATGACAGCAGTGCTGGCCACCTTATGCTGGTTTTCAATGCTCCAATCATGAGAAAGCTGTGACCAGCTGAGCAGCTGGTTTTCACTGGAAGGCCTCCTCGTCCACAAAGTGGTTTCTTTCAGTCCAGACCAACGTCTTCCCACTTTGGGTGTTTGAACTGAAAAAAGACAGAAGGCCACTGAGAAGGTATCTCCTATTCCTGCCAAGGTAAGTATCCAGTAAACCAAGATGGGACCCAATAGCGTATTTCCACAGAGGGACTTCAATGGCAGAAATTGTTTATTTAGGTGAAGGAATGGCTGAGGAGCCAAACAGGGGACAGTGAGGCAGCTAAGTGGTTAGCTACAGCAGGAAGCCACGACCACCTCAGGCTGGAGAGATAAAAGGAGTTGGCATTACTTGAGTGTGGGGGCTGGGATCAGCTGGCAGGAGCTAGAGCTGAAGGAGATGCATTCTCTACTGGCAGAGAAGTGGGGAGAGAAATGCTCTTCTTGCTCCCCATCTCTCACCAGAATCTCCCATTGGCCATCGCTGATTAGACAGAAGCCAGTGGACTCAGATCCTGGGAGCACACAGCGCGCAGGGGTCAGCTACTCTCTCGGCAGTCTTAGGATTTAGAGCAGGGGGGAATGAGAAGGTTCTCTGGCTCCCAGTTTCCAGACGCCTGCTTTGGCACTTCCTCCTTCTCTGAAAACCAGAAAGCTGTAGGAGGAGGGGAGAAAGCCTGAGTCCTGGACAGAGAGTGGTATGAGATTCTGCCAAGCTTGTGCTGAGTGCAGACAGAGCCACATGCCCATGGGGACTGCTCACCAGGCACTGATATTCTCACAGAAACACTCATCCCTAAATAACTTCTGGAGCTCCGTCACCAACGGCTGGGATCTGTGCCTCTGTTCTCAGAATGGCTGGCTTAGGCAGGTGGCATTTCCAAGAATGCTCCGGCTGGGATTAGCAGGTTATGAATTCCCCTAGAGGGTCACTGAGAAATGTGACTTTTGCATGCCTTGATAATTAAGAGGTACAATTATTTGGCTTCTTATGGTAAATACTGGGTTGTGGTGACATTTTGGGTATGAGGACACTGTAGATTCTAGGAATCTGCAGTGTATTCTACATCTCTTATTTGATTGCATTTTTTTTTTATTCAGTTCTACAGACACTGGTTGCTTTCTTATCTAGATGTGTCCTGTGTATGATGTGTGAGAATATATTTATTGAGAGGTTGGGAGGAAGGCATGGGTTGCCAAGCAACGCTCTGAAAATATAGGATTACAAAGTTCACACTTGTGTTCACCTAGGGAAAGATGTTTTGCTGCCCTGGGCCTCAGTTCTCTCTTTGGAAAATGGGAGTTACAGACATTTCCTAATAACCCTACCCTTCCCTCAAACACACACTTTCTGATGGCGTTTAACAGCAACACATTTTCTCCTTATTTGTAAATATATTTTTATTGTAGAAAGTTTGGAAAGAGAAATACTTAAATACAAATACAAACTGCCTATGATTACATAACCCCCAAATAACCATTGCTAATACTTTTTATTAAATTGAATATATATTTTAAATTGGGGCCATACTCTGTGTGTGTGTGTGTATTTGTATAGTTATATAATTTTCCATCTAATTCTTGGTAAAAAAAGTACATGAGTATTTTACTTTTATTAAAAAACTTTCTTTTTGAAACTTAAAAAAACATTAAAGAAATCAGTGAATAACATTCTGGTCAAATGGATGCATTGCATTTTGTTTGGTTACACCTTATTATTAGATATTTATACTGTTTTCAGTTTTTCTCTTATAATTATACTGTGACCAACATTCTTCCCATAAATTTAGAACTTAGTACATCTAAATATATAAATATAATTAAGAGGTGTCAACCTTTTATAAAGAAGACAAAGTTCCCCCCCCCCCAAAATAACAAATGTTCATAATGTAAGAAGCACAAGAACTCTCATATATCATTATGAAAATCACTATTGCCTTAATGGAAAAATGGAAAGGGACATGAAGTAGGATTTTCTACTACCAGTAAATATACAAAAGGTGTTCAAAGTCATCTGTAATCAAGACACACAAATTAAGACAATAACACAACTTTGTTTTTGCCTGTAAAATTGGCAAAGAAAAAGCAAAGTAAAAACCAGATAATGCAATGTTGGTGATAGTAATTATGCAGGTGACAAAGAAATCAGGTTCATAACATTCCTGTGGAAAAGTAAATCGATATGCCCTTTAAATTTTTAGAGAGATTTCATTTATTCCTTAATTAGTCAGTAATGATCAAGTTGCTACTATATACAAACATGATTCTAAGTGCTGGGAGTCATAAAAAATAATGTGGCATATAGGCCCAATCCTTATGAAGCTTGCGATTAAGAGAGATCAAAGATGTCCAAAATAAAGATAATGCAATGTGTAATGAACTGACAATAAGTGCATCAGATATCGAATCAGAAGATTTGAGTTCTAATCTTGCTTGGCCTCTTATTAGCTGTCACTTTGGAAAAGTTACTTTATCATCTTGGGCTTTAATTTTTCACTTGCAAAATAGGTTGTCAGAGAATTAAATGAAACCAGAGATATTAAAATATTTTGTAGATTGCTCATGCTTTTCACATGTAAAGCTGGTATCTCTGATTTTAAAGGAAGAACTCATTTCTGGTAAGGGAGACTCCGAAGGCCAGGGAGAAAGAGAAACAATAGTAAGCATGTGTGTGTGTGTGTGTGTGTGTGTGTGTGTGTGTGTGTGTGTGTGTATGGGGCAGGGAGGGAAGATTTTGGCATTACGAGATTGTAGAAAAAGGAGGGACCAAGTGGCAGGAATTGAAAAAGCCAACTTGGGGAGGTGGGAGAGGGTAAGGGGAGTTTAAGTCCCTGTGAATATAAGCTATCTGGCTGAGGTAAGTCCGGGGGGGGGGGGGCTGGATTGGGAGCTAATTGAGAGAGAGACTTGATATAGAGCCATGGAGTCTGGGCTTTGTTCTGCAGATGATCAGAACTACAGAGATTTTTTAAGCAGAGAAGTTATTGACAGTAGGTTGTTCAGAACAGGAACAAAATGACAGGTGAACCCAGCATGCAGAGCTTGGTTTCTAATACTGTTCTCCAGAAAAAGGAGCAAGAGCTCCTTGGAGAAAAGGCTGATGCTAAGTCTGGGCAGGGAAATACAGGGTAAGCCTGAAGCATCTTGTAGTGCTGGAAAGTAAGAAAGTACTAAAACAAAAGAAAACAAAACAAAAGGTTGGGGCATGTCAAAGGGACACAAGAGAAATCTGAAAGAGCTCCCAATGGCCAATGCTGGAAAAATTTGAGCAACAAAATAATGTAGTACAGTGTGATAACCCAAAGCATAATGTAAATATCTATGAGTCCATATTGATATAAATAAATGAGGGGAGAAGAGGCAAAGCTTTCCTGTAGAGGAATTCTAAATAATTTGCATAAATATTTCTCCTGCCAAGAGCTGAGGCTAAACTCTGCTCCTGGCCCCCCTTCCCTCAGTGAACCCCTGTGACCAAAAATGTTAACACTAAGGGACCTGGATGAAAAGTATATGGGAACTCGCTGTATGACTTTTGCAATGTTTTTATAAGTCTAAAACTGTATTTTAAAGTAAAAAAATTTTAAAAACTTTAAAAAAAGAAATTGAGGCAACTGAAGTAAAGTAACAATAAAAATAATTTCTCTTAAAAAAGGAGCAATACATAACTAAATAAAATCAGTGGGTAATCAGAAAACCTTAAAAGGGACTGGACATTGGGCAAAGAGCCAACACCATCTGCCACAGGCAGAAATGAAGGGGTCAAGTTGGCTTACTTTGTCAACATTTCCTCTCTTGTTAAAATTGTCTCAAATGAGCATGTACTATTTTCCTCATTTTGTAGAGTCGAATTAATTAAAATAATGAAAAAAAACTTTTAAAAAAAGATGAGTGAATACTGCAAAAGTCATTGTAGAAGGTGATGAAAGATCCTATGATCATTTTGATGATAGGTGCTCCGTGGGGACAGGTGTAAAGGATGGGCTGACTAAAAAGAATTTCTACATTGAGACCCCCAACAATTCCCATCTCCCTTTACTTCATATTGAAGGCTGTGGTGTTTTCTTTTCTGTAGCTTAGAAATTTAACCTGGAAAAATATGCACAGACACATGTCTTACAAGGTCCCTTCAGAAGTTTCAAATAACTTTTCCTTGTTACACTTCAAGACTCCTTTGATAATCATCAAAGATATAACTAGCCGGGTTTTCCTGGATCTTCATCTCTATAACCATCTTTTCCTTTTGGAGTTGTGAGGATATAATATGACAGGAAGTGTCCATCAGCTCAGGTTAACTCCACAGTACACTTTCTGTTACCTCCCATTCATGTTCTCCTTGAAGCCTATGATTTTTCCACTGCAATGTCTGTTTCTTCTGAAATTAAGGCTACATTTTTAAAATTTAAGGTAAAATACTTTTTCCCTTAATCCTACTACCCTACCACCACTTAAAAATTTTTAATTTCTTTATGTGTACTGCCAAAAAACTTGAGTCAAATTCACAAAGTGTTATTAGCTGCAAAGACTGTGTTCTCTGTGCTCACCATGGTCCTCCAAGAAGGAAAGACGATATGCGTTGACAAGTATTTACTGTTTACAAGCTGGCCAATGGTGAAAGTTAACCTGGGCCTCTTTTCTTTTTGAAGATATTGTTTGATAAGCACACTTTAATTTTGTCCTTCCATTTTCTCATTTTAATATCTGTGCCCAGGAAACAGGGCTGGCTACATAATTCACAGTACTCAGTCCAAAATGAAAATGCAGGGTTTCTTATTCAAAAATTAAGAATTTCAACACAGCCCTGGCTGGCATGGTTCAGTAGATTGATCTCTGGCCCGTGAACTGAAAGGTTGCTGGTTCAATTCCCAGTCAGGGCACATGTCTAGGTTTTGGGCTAGGTCCCCAGTTGGGGGCATGCAAGAGGCAACTGAATGATGTTTCTCTGGCATATTGATATTTCTCTCTCTCTTTCTCTCTCCTTTACCCTCTCTCTAAAAATAAATTAAAAACATATTTTTTAAAAAAGAATTTCAAGACAGTGACAGCAGAAAGTTGAGCGAAGTATGGGATCCTTCTAAGCAATGGGACTTTAGGTTACGGGGCTTCTTGCTGTCCCCTTGGGCCTTACTCCAGAGCAAAAGAGGAGGAAGAACTTTAGGTCCCACCATCTATCATGGAGAGTGAGGGAGACGGGCCACACAGAACCAGGAGACTTTTCCCCGTAGCTCATCCTAATGCTTGTGATTAGAAAATCTGGGGTGTTGAAGGAAGGGATGTACAATCACCTGGAGTTAAGTTTCTGTAGGTGACTGAAAGCACCTCCCTTACAACATCAGTTACGGAATGGAGATGGGAAGACGAATCTCACCTCCAAGGTAGAGAACACCAAGGCTTCCTCCTGCTCCTCCAGGGACATGTGGAGACCTGCGCAGACCCTGTACTTCCCAGAACTTGGACCTCAGTTCAGTTCAACAGTTTCTACCAAATGCCTGGGGCAGAGCTTGAAACTAAAGGTAAATATAAATGAATGAATGAATGAATGAATGAATGAATGAAGTATCTACCTTTAAGGAGATAGTCTATTGGGGGATGAAGACATATAGATACACAAAATCAGAATACGTGTTAAGATGTTTTTAAAGCCCTTCTTATCTTGTCTTGGTCTTAGGGACCAGGGGCCTCCTGACCTGACCTAACTGAAGTGACCCCTAGCTACATTCAATGCCGAATGTGGCAGGTAAGAGGTGTTGCATATCCTTTTGCATCAGCCAGGAGAAACCTGTCGTGGGGGCAGAGAGCTGTGTTTCCCGGTGAAAAACTCTAGTGTCCATGTTTCACTTAAGTTCTGTGTAGCTATATCTTAAAGGCTCTATGTATGCATATAACTAATAACCTAACACATGGAAGACTTCTTAATGGGTTAAATTTACTTTTGAATTTACTAGTTGATCTGATTAAAGAGTTTATTGTTTTTTAATTTTTAAAAAATAATTAAAACAATATTTTCCATCATTTATTACAGCAAAGTGAAGCATCGCATGGTATGAAATAGTTTTTCCCTGAGTTTCTATCACAATAGTGTTTTCTCACAGTGAAACGCTTCTCTGAAGCAAGTATTTTGACATTTCATATCATATGATACCTGTAAAAAGAACTGATGGGTGATTCCACACGCATTGTTATATATTCAATTGACTTACAAAGGTGGCTGGACCCACAACAGATCACAATGATCATCTTTCAGGCCACGGTGCCCAAACTCCCCCCATCTAAAATGGATCATGATGATTTTTTATTTGATGATCATTTGACAATGAGAAGTACATTTATAGGGACATTTCAGAAGGTTTAAAAGCAAAATGATTGCTCACACACAGAACTCCTACTTCATAGCTGGGGCCACTTGAGATGGTCACCTGTCTCCTCTCCTGTAACTGTCCCCATGCATTTCTCAAACCTGATGGAGGCCCATTTGATGACAGCAAGTCAGTCTAAGGCTCCACCCCTCTCCACCCCCATCTCCTCATCCCTGTGCCAGGTTAGGTGTCTGAGGAGTATCTTCAGTCCACAGGAAACACTGATTGAATGAGTAAGTTAACGGTTCCCATTGCTTTCTTCTAAGCAGCTTTGCAAGCACTCTTTTATTGCTTTTGCAATGGTCCTGAGTTATGGGTAGTCAGAAAGAGTTCACTTTGCATAAAGAGATCGAGACTCAGGAAGCTAAATGAGTTACCCACAGTGACACAGCAAATTGAGGTGGGGGGAGGGTAGTCGACTCCGCTCAATGATTTTCAGCCTTTTTCATCTCATGGCACACCTAAACTAATTACTAAAATTCTGCAGCATACCAAAAATGTATTCTATTTTTTGCCAATCTGACAAACAAAATGTATAATTTTCATTCACTCATGCCAGATTGCTATTATTGTGTTGGCTGTTGTCATTTTTTTAAAATTTATTCTAAGGGGAAAGGGGTCAGTGCCCCTGACTTAAAAGGAAGGTACTGCGTGTTTTAAAAGTTCTTGTGGCTCACTGGTTGAAAATCGCTGCTCTGGCCTATAGGCCAGATCCATTGCACATCTAAATAACCAAACTGCAGTTAAAGTAACAAAGGTTGGGTATGAAGTCTCCTGATACAAATAGTTAATTATGGAACTTGTTAACTGAGAGTAACATCAAAAGTGTTTGACGATTTATTGTTAACTCTCTTGAGAACACATTTTTGGTAACAAGACACTAAAACTCCCAACCCTCATCTATGCTCAGGTATTAAAACTTCTCTCACAACCCGCTCCCAGTTCCATTTTTTTTTTTTTTGGTAAACAACACATAAATACCAGGAACAGTGTGTCTAGAATTAGTGAGTCAATTTTCTGTGATTGAAGAGGTATTTGAAAAGCAACAAAAACCTAAAAGGTAGTTTGAGGAAATAAGAGCATTAACAGCATGACAAAAGAGGTCAGTGGTCTTGATGTTTATAGAAGGGGAACTAATCCACTTTTGGTATAAGAAAAAGCCAAAGGAGAACCGAGTTGTGACTATGGCACGGAGGGCAGCAAAAAGGCCACAGCTTGTAAAAAAAGTAAAAGCAGAGTACAGCCCTCATTGTGGAAAAGTGTCCTGGGTCACAGGAAAAGAAAACAAAAATCTGCTGTTTAAAATCTTGTTTTAAAAATGAAATTTGTAGGTAATACTACTTTATATATATGAAACATGTTTTGGGGGATAGAAAAGCAAGTGGCAATATAAAAATACATATATCCGAATGAGCCAGAACTTTGGAAAATAATCAAGGGCATCCCCATGTCTGGGAGATAACAGATAACCAGTTGCCTGGAAGTGGTGAGTTGTCCCTTTGCTCAGCAGCAGTAGCAGACTGTTCTAGGCCATTCTGGGAGGGGACAGCATGGTACCAAGTGGGAACCAGCAGTTATGTGGCCATGGGAAATTCATCATTGTTTGCTGTTTTATTTTCAGGTAATGTTACAGTTTCTGTTCTACAATAGGATTCTGCTCTCAGATCCAAAAGCTGTATGTGTGGTTTTGTTTTTTTTTTTTTAATATTTAGCATCTTCTTTATGAGCAGGGTTATGAAATGGAATTTCAATAATGCATTGAAATACAGAAAGACCTATAAACTCTGTCTCATGGTTTGGAAGATAAACCTGTCACTTCTGCCCTTCTGTCCTCTCTTTTTCTTCTCACGTAGCAGGCCTGCTGCCAGAGAAAAGCCCAACCCCTTAGTCAGAAGGGTCATTGCCTGACCCTCTGGGCAGAGCAGAAGTTTACTGATAGGTTCATTCATGGTCTACGGACAGGAAGGACCGAACAGAACCAGTTGTAAGACATTAAATGTAAAAAGTATTAGAGAAGAAAATCAGGTTGGTTTACTCAAAACTTAGAACCAGGGCACCAACCCTCCCTTTTCTTCTTCATCTTGAAGCTATGTCTGGGATGGATATGAACACTCTTCTCAGTGGGGTCAGGTTGAGGGGGGATATTAACACATCCCCGCACTCCCACGCTCTTCTCCAACCTTGGTTTGCTGGCAGGGAAAGGCTCGATGGGCAACATGATTCTTATGAAGTGAAGTGAAGCTCCAAGCCCATATACGTACATATATTTTTAATCAAGACATAATTGACATGTAACATTGTATTTGCCTTGGGTGTACCACATAATGATTTTATATATGTATTCATTGCAGAATAACTATCACAATAAGTTTAGTTAACATCCATCACCACCATAGTTTCCATTTTTTCCCCTTGTGATGAGAACTTTAAAGATCTCTGCTCTTAGCAACCTTCAAATATACAATACAGTAGTGTTAACTATAGCATCTGTGCCACATGCTATATCCCTAGGGCTTATTTCTCTTATAACTAGAAAGCCAAACCCATATTTTGCAACTAAGACCTATCGCCATTGGAACCCCACATCCCTTCTCAGAGCAGCTAATGACGACCAGCGGCTCCGTGGATGTCTGTGTGTTGGGACACGAATGGGGGCTACATCTCACTGTGGTGGAAGGTGGGGTCCATTTGAAGCTTGAGACACCCTTAGCCGCAGGGTCTTTATATAGTGAGGTGACTATCACTCTACCCCCTGAGCTGCTCACGATGACTGGAGAAGGCTTCAGAGGGAAGGACTCATTTCCAATCAGAAGCCTGAGAGCTTTGACAGGCACGACTCTAAGCAACCTTTCTTTCACTCATTAGAGCTTTTGAAAAAGGGCCTTCAGATCAAAATTCTTGCATTACAGCAGGTTGATACATAGGTAGGTGCTACTGGTTTTATTCTGAGCAGCTTATGATGTAATCTTATGTTCCAGAATTAAACTTTTAAGATGAAGGTTCATCGTATTCTTCCAGCCAAATGGGGAAAACAGGCTCCTTTTCTTGAATTAGTTTAATATTAAAACAAACTTTTTTTTGGCCCTGGCTGGTGTGGCTCAATGGACTGAGAACCTGCCCATGAACCAATGGGTTGCCAGTTCGATTCCCAATCAGGCACATGCCTGGATTGCAGGCCAGGTCCCCAGTCAGGGGGCATGCAAGAGCTAACCACACATTGATGTTTCTTTCCCTCTGTTCCTCCCTCCCTTCCCCTCTAAAAGTAAATAAAATCTTTAAAAATTTTTAAAAATATTTTTTATACAGAAGTATCCTTAGATATCTTATATGAAGTTTAGTTATTTAAAAAGAACTAAAGTGAAGTTGTTTTTAGTAAAAAACAACTCTTTAATTGAAAAAGTGGAAACAATATTAGGAATCCCCCCTGCTTCTATAGGTATTTATGACTAAGTCTTTTTGAGTTTTCCAGACTTCCAAAAAAACCAAACATCACAAGAAGAAAATACTTCTGAACCTTTTGTTCCTTGACATTTGAGCCTGCTGTCTGTTTGCGATAATTCATGCCGGGTTTACAGTCTGATTCTGAGACCTGGTCTTCTTGTTGGTTTCACGGCATACCAGGAGTGGGGCTGTTGAAACACACATACCCAAGTGCAGTCATGACGAGTTGGGTTAGAGAAGCTCTTGAGCAGAAAAGTCCTGATTTTAAAAAAGAATAGGTATTTCAATCCTGTTTAGTTTTTTTTTTTTTTTTTTCCAGAATGGGATGGGTGGGATGGGTGGGATGGGTGGGGAAGAGGTATTATGGTGGGAATGAATGGTGACCTCATGAGTAAGTTTTATTTGAACTTTAGGAATTTATTAACTTGTCATTGGGTTGAAGTTCTAACCTGAGATCTAAGAGTTTTCTTATGCACAATTGTGGGGCGGATGGGGCAGGAGGTACATTAGTCAAGGCTTCAGTTATCGAGAAAGTTCCGAATTGGTATGAGAACAAAGTGTTGCTCTGTATACAAGTGTCTTCTGCTATCTGTCCGCTTGATATTTGGACTTCCCATTGTTCTCCTGGTAAGATTACACCTTCCAACATACCGCTTGATCCTCTTTGGAGTTTCTCTGTTTTCCAGTTTCTCTGGAAATAAGGCTTGCAGAGGAGGAGGCAGGTAGCCATGATGCCTGAAAGCTTGCTTCCACATTCTCTTAATGGGGGGGGGGGTGGTAGTGGTAAAAACAGTGGCCACACACTCAGCCCTGCCCTGGTAGAGCCAACCTGACTTTGTTGTTTGAGCAGACAGCTGGCCAGTGTCTGGCAAGAGCATTAGGAAGAGGACTGCAGAGGAAGATCAATCAGGCCATGCAAGCTCTGGCCAGCAGAACTCTT